GTCCCGCGGTCATTTCCGTTGTGGCTTTTTTTGGTGTTTTGTGGCTTTTTGTTGTGTTGTCGCATTTGTATTTGTTGCGGCGTTTGCATTTGTTGTGACATCTCTCGGCTTCCGTATGTTTTTGCAGTAGATTGCATTTACCACTGTCAGTCTTTTATTTTGAAGGCCTGATTAGAGACAGGAAGTTATGAGAGGAAGTCAGCCATATGTTGTTTTTGTTGGTTCTCAGTAGCACGTGTTCATCCTCTGACATCTGCCTTTTTGTTCGTGCCTTTGACCTCAATGTCTGTAAGTTGTGCTTTATACAGATAAGAATTATAATAGTCTTGCTCTGTTAGTAAAGGATTGTTGTTAGAAATGTGTTTTTGTTGAAAATTATGTATTCATATGGTAGTGGATTGTGTAGTTAAGCAAACTTTGTTATATTTTCCACTGTGCTAAGTACAGTTTTTTTTTCTGTTTTGCAGTTTTACTCTGTTTTTGGAACCATCTTTTTGGAGAAATAAATTAGAGCTATGGACGCTATGTCGTGACTGTGCGCATGTTTCAAAAAAGGGTTACACTTAATGCTAAATTGTGTTAGAGACACACAAGGAGAGCAGAATAGGTCCACTACCTGCTTTGTCTAGAATGTTCCACAGTACAGCTTAACCCAATCTATCACAAGGGAGACAAGCCGGTTGCAGAACTACGCTTTACATTACCATTCAGATCTGTGGAGAGTCGCCCTTATTCGCAGAAAGAGTTATTGTATTTTTTTTAGCAATAGAAATACTCATAATGAATGCATGCTAGATGTCTACGTAAAATGTCACACCATGGAACATTCAAAGCAGAGCGATAGCATTTCCGTGGAGTCAAGCAAGTGACAGTACATTATAAACTACAAAAATGTACCAAACAACTATGCAAAAATATGGTATTTCTTGAACTTTAAGGCGCACAGGATTATACGGCGCAATATCAATAATGTTGAATTTTCTCATCTATTTCCATACATAAGGTGCACCGGATTATACATTGCATTAAGCGAAACAAACGGACGACACTTGAGACCACGATCCATTGGCAGATCGTGATGTAATTTGCCCGGCAGTGCTTCCCTGTCTTGGTGAATGTGGATTATGAATGTGAATGTGGTGGATCATTTAAAGTTGTTTTTCATTTCCTACAAGGACGACTCAAATATACATCGAGTAATAATGTGTTTAAAGCAGCTTTGTGCACATTTGTTTATGTTTTACAGAAATGAAACTTAAAACCACGTGGCTTATTTGCATAAACTAAAAACATGTCGCTCCATGTGCGTTGATGCGGTCAGCTTCTGTCAGACTTACTCCGCGAGGCTCCTGACGAGAGTAGCCGTAATGCTCTGACAATCCATCAAGAGGTGCAGCTTTGTAGCTTTCCAAAGTCGTACTAAAACACTTTGACAGATATTTGAGCCCCATGTACCACAAAAATTTGGTCGAGGTCAGTAAACACAACCAGAATTAATACCTAAGGTGCACCGATTATAAGGCGCACTGGCGATTTTTGAGAAAATTAAAGGATTTTAAGTGTGCCTTATAGTCCGAAAAATACAGTACATAAAGGCATTTACCAGAGCAAACCCATCACGAGAATTCCTTCATATAGGACAGTAAACAACATCTTCAGTATTTACCCAACTATTCAGTGTTGGTGGCCCGTGGACCCTGCGTATCTATTCTAATGGCTTGTTTTCGTTTGGTCCACTGCATAAGCCCATTATAGAAGTTGTTTGTTTTGATCTACTGTACATCATCCACGCTGCGTACCACTGTCTGTAAGATGCTCGCTATATTGACTTACATTGACTTCCCTTTTATCCTCATCATCATTTATTCATGCGTGTATACATAGGCGTTTTTTGCTGCGTTGTTATATATACTACGACCAACGGGGAAACGGTTCTTCGGCAGGTCCTGCATCTCGCCGCTATTATTTACACTTCAAAGCTAGGTGCACTTTCAAGGAAGCATCGACCATGTCCTAAGCAAATACATGCTTTAATATGGGAAGCTAAAAGTGTTTCTGTGTACGTGAAAGCTGCACATTTCTATTTGGTTTATAATGTTCTTTCATCACAAAAAAAGGGAAATCTAAGCAGTAGTAATAGTTTGTTAGTGTCTTGGTCCATTCTATATGTATGTTGTATTTAAGGGCCTATATTGCACTATTTCTGATCTCTGTTGTGTTTTGTTTCATTCGTGCACACACAAATCCTGCATAGACTCAGTTCCTCCTTGTGATGTCATTAAGTGTCATTAAGTTTTTAAACTCCACACACCTTCACTAGAATCATTTTGATAATTTCAGCTATGGGCTTTGGGTTTTGAAGTTGTAGCTATTCTTTTAGTCTCACTGAAATTGCTTCACTCCTCGGTGCACCTGCAGATATTTGAGACTTTCTACTGACAGTTTCTCTCAACTCTACAAAGCGTAAAACTAATATCAAGGTTCTCACGGTCATGGAAGTCCTGGAAAAGTCATGGAAATGTATAAATTCAATGAAAGTTTTGGAAAAGTCATGGAATTTTAGTATCTCTATTGCGTAACTACAGCTTTCTATTACGTTATCATAAGTTTATTATGAATATTTTCGAGCGTCTGTGCCTTTTGTTTAAAAGAGACGACAATAAATGCACTGACAGTATTTTGAATGTTAAAAAAATACCACTACCAAATCATAAGGTGAATGGAAAGGGTTTAACGTTTCATATTTAGCCCTAAAAGTATGATCCATTGTACACATGTAGGTGCTGTAAAGTCATGGAAAATTAACTTTAGGTCATGAAAAAGTCATGGAAAAGTTTTGTCAGTGGAAAAAGAGTGGGAATCTTGTAATATATTCCAAAATAAAAGTAAAAATTTAAGGTTATTTTAAAGTATTGAAGAGTAAAGCAGCTTACTTGAGGCTAAAAATACCAGTTAACACTCAATGACATCACAAGGTTGAAAGCATTTTTAGTTGTAGAGATGTAGAGATGTAGACAGACTAATGATCTAGGACTTCTTAAATGAAACAAAACACAACTCTAGGTATGTTTTTGAGGAGGTAACAACTTTATACCATTACTTAAAGCTTTCATGGATTAATTTTGCATAATTGGATCTTTAAAGAATGTTGCTTTGTTGTAAGAAAACTGATATTGTGATTCTTAAAGATTCTTTTTCCCACTAAATAAACTAAAATTATATATTTGAAGTATTATTGTACTATAAAGATGTTACATGATGTGATGCCCTTGGATTTTACTGACAAAATGTACGGCAGCTGCCTCTCCAGCCCTCAGTAAGCACGCAGTTACTCTGACACATTCAGAAAGAAGTAGAATGGAATATCCTGTCCAAGGACCAAAACACAGTATGAACTTGATAAAGCAGGATTCAAATCACAAACCTTAGTCAATTTGTTTACTATTTTTGTCTGATACAATCCAATACAACAATAACTAGGGATGCAATGATCCAGCTTTTTCAGTGCCGATACATATTTCTATACTATACTATGGCGTTAAATATCTGCTAATACGTGATATTGACCGATACCAGTGCAAAGACTGAAAACAGCAGGTCCTATTGTTCTCTTGTGAGATTTAAGCCATTTTAGAATTTTGTTACCTTCTCAAAAATATACCTGGAGATGTGTTTTGTTTCTTTCACACATATTTGAGTAATCCTTTCTTATCTCTTTCTAAACTCAAACTGTTCTGTTGTGATATCATCAAGTGGTAGTTTTCTAGAGAAAGTGGCAAAGGAGAAACTCAGTGCTGGTGTATACTGCCTTATATCCACCAGCATTCTGACCAGAACTGAAAAAGCAGCTTGGATGAGCTGTGAAACGTTTTCGATCTACATAAACATTTGCCCAATTGACAAACTGAATTTCTCCTTTGTCATGAATTCTACTTGGACGACTGAGGGACTCTACACACCTTTTCTAACAACAGCTCCTGTTAGCTTTTGTTCAGTACAGATTTGGAAATCCAGGTCTGAAATTATCCAAATGATTCTTGTGAAGGTGTATGGAGTTTAAAAAGCACTTCTTGTATTACCACATGACAGCACAACATGGAATAGAGTATTTTCAGTTTGAGAGAAGAACTCAGCCTAAATATGCAGGATTTGTGTGTTAAACATGTGTGAAAGAAACAAAACACAACTCTAGGTATGTTTGTGATGAAACAACAACATAATAATAATAATATAGACCAGAAAATTGCATAATATGGGCCCTTTAAACAAAAATAGTATAAGACGAAACTGACCCCAATGTGTTATGTAGTTATTATTTATCTCTCAACTCAGTACTGAACAGCTCTCTATAAAATAAAGTTCAGACATTATGAAACTTTCCAGGTCAACTACATCCAGTAAACAGTCTTATTACCTCAATGTATATGTCCAATGGCTGAATCAATATTTGGAAGCCGATATCTGATCCAACAAATTTTTCAGTATTGAATCAGTGCATCCCTAAGGCAAGTTTATTTGTAAAGCGCAGTTCGTACACATACTGATTCAAAGGTCTTTAAATAGTAAGAAAAATAAATTAAAACCAATGCAAACAAATCAAAATATAAAGACTTGTTATCCTGTTCTCAGACGAAACCTCATGAAACCTCTGCAGTGATTTCCTTCTGTGAATATGTAAACTATGCAAAGGCTCTGAATGATTTTAAGAATCATAAAAATGAGAAAGAAATATTGAAAAATTAACTTCCAAAACTGTTAAGCTCCATGCAACAGAAATTATTTCACTGAGAATATGTAGAATTTGAAATAACTTTGATGTAATCGGACAAGCTTTTTTCCTACTTCTTAGGGTTACTTTTTAAAGATTTTTTTTAGATGATGTTATGTTTGAGAACGAGTAATAGAAATAAATATTAAATGAGCCAGTCTCTTGTTAAAATTGCAATAAAAATCAATCAAAATATAAAGCCTTTCTAACCAAAGCTGTCTCCTCTTCTCAGATGAAACCTCTTTTGAAGCCGGGATCAAGGTTCAGATTCACACTCAAGACGAACCCCCTTTTATCGATCAGCTGGGCTTCGGAGTGGCCCCAGGCTTCCAGACCTTCGTGTCCTGTCAGGAGCAGAGGGTGAGTTCATAAACCTTCATAACACAGAGAAATACAACTGGGGTTTTGATACAGATTTGTGTCTAATGTCCAAGCATAGTAAATGAAAGAATATACTGTTAAAGGTGCATTGTGCAACGTGTCTGGTGGAGCGTCTTTCAAATGCTTTTTTCCATTGAAGATGTTCTTGCTTTGTCTGGAATGTTTCATAATTTGGCAATAAACGTTTCTATCTTCAGAAGACCAAACCAGACCAAGTTACAGGTCAGATCCAATCCCTGGGGTTTCAAAATGTCCGGCCATTCAAGTCAATTGGCTGAGCTCAATGGCGCATGATTCCAGATTTGCCTTTAGCCCGGCGAGGTACTTCCCGTGGCTCTGGGCGGACTGAGCACGCGCAGTAGTGCTCTTTTCTCCTGCAGGCTTGTGGTATCATGTGATCGCTTTGACCAATCAGAGGAGCTAGAGCTGAGCAGAGCGTATTGTATTTATGTATTTATTTTGGGCGAGTAAGAAAGCCAGAGCGAACAATTATAAAGCATTTTTTAAGATAACTTAAGAATTTTGAGCTGAGAAAAAGTTTATGATCTAAAAATAGGTAAAAACTGCCGACAAATCCGACATTTTTGAAAGTCGTAGGTGCCCTGTCAGCCGAACATGAGCCCTTTGTGATTACATTGCGCTCTATGAGAAAAATCCTCTCTCAGCCCAGAGTTTTTTCCGCTGAAGTTCCAGTGAGTGGATGCAGCAATATGTCCAGTTATTTTAATAGATCCATGGTCAGATCTGTGGAGAGGCGACCACGCTCAGAGTCAGAATACCTGTTGTTTTTTTTAAGTGTTTTTGAGCTATAAAATTACCTGTAATTGAATAGATTTAAGGTAGAGTTGTTTAATGTCACACTGTGGAACATTTCACGCAGAGCAATGAGATATTCATAGAAACAAGCAGGTGACGGACCCCAAACCAAAAAGTTACATAGTGCCGCGATAAACTTGGAACCGCCGTAAGACCAAAGACAAGCTGAAAACTGATGCTGAGTGTGTCTGATATTTTGGAGACTTGGTGCAGAGTGAGCCCTCTTCTCACTCTCGCTGTGTTCACGATCAATGTTTGTGTCCAACCGTAAACACAAGAGCTCTTCAGTAACAGCAGAAGAGCTCCTCCGTGAACTGAACCATCTCTCCCCAATTTCCTTTCATTTACTAACTTTTACAAACGTGAAAACACCTCTGGCATGTAGTGGACTGTTTCCTTTTTGGAGAGAGAGTTTTTGCCCACATAGTCTTAAACGAAGCTGAACAAACTTGATACAAATAATACTTAAAGGTGGACTGTGTACCTTTTCTTGTGGAGGCTCTGTCAAATTCTTTTCTCCATGGAGCTGTATTAAACCTTTCTATCGTCATGAAGACCAAACCAGACCAAGCTACAGGTCAAATCTGGGGAGAAGCAACCCCGCTCACAATCAGAATGTCTATTTTTCAAGGTATTTTTGGGCTATAAACTCACCTGTGATTGAATAAATGTAAGGTAGAGCTGTTTATTGTCACACTGTGGAACATTTCAGGCAGAGCAATGGCATCTCCATAGAAACATGCAGGTGATGGACCCCCAAAAAGTTACATAGTGCACCTTTAATGCTTCTAATCTTGTCAAAACTATACAGAAGTAACTATATTCAATTTGTTATAAGTGCATTTTTTATATATATATAATTGTGACATTTATAAAAATATATGAAACTATTAGACTTAGACTTAGACAAACTTTATTGATCCACAAGGGAAATTATTTGGACACAGTAGCTCACACATCACAATATAATATAATCACAAAGAGCAAAAATATAAATGGTAATAATAAATTCTTTAAATAAGTAGCAAAAAAAGATAGCAAGAGACAGGTGTCAAATAAGACATAATTATATAAATGTAAATGTACAAGTCAGAATAAAATAGAAAGATAAGTAATAAAATATCTATACTTTTTTAAATAACATGATTAAAATATGGATTGTTTGTGCCTCTATAGTCTCAGTATAGAGTCTGGAGAGATTAACTTGGACAAACTTTGGTCTTTTCCCAGACTGATCGTGTGAACCATCGCACCGTGTATCTGTGATTAGATTTAAATTAGATTTAAAATAGTTTTATATTTATTGTCATTGTACAAAATACAATTAAACTTCAACAGAGCAAATCTGTAGCGGTAAAATGAATAAATATAGACACATTCTCGCATCCATACCAATAAAAACATTAAATAAGTCCAAGTATGTGTTGTACTTTATTTAAACTCCCCACATTGTGCAGTGTGACATCCAAAAATCTAATAAAACAAAAAGAAAATGCAATAGATGCCACACTTTAAAGGTATTTAACACACAAACCTCTGCATATTTAGAGTTCATCCACCTTGTGATGTCATGTGGTGTTACAGGAAGTGCTCCGCCGTGTTTTTAAACTCCATACACCTTCACTAGAATCATTAGGATTATTTCAGCATAGAATTGCCAAACTCTACTGAACAAAAAGTAACAAATACTAACTTGAAAACCACCCCTTCATGACATCACAAGGTGGAATAGAGCATTGTGAGCTTTGGAGATGTAGACAGACTAATAATAAAGGATTACTGATGTGTAAATGAAATAAAACACAACTCTTGGTATGTTTTTTGAGGAGGTAACAATGTTAGAACATGACTTAAAGCCCATTTTGCGTAATATAGGACCTTCAATCTAACTCTGACACCACTAAATTCATTGACAGTTTCAGTATTTTCTGTCATTTTTCTTTGCCAAATAAATCTAACAAATAGTAAAAGACAGTATTTTTTTTTTGTTTTACTCCTTTTCCGTAGACAGAGCAGCCTTTGTTTGAGTCATATCCTCTTAGACAGTGTAGTGTGGGAGTTTGAGATGTGGTACTGAGTAAATAAACCCAGAGAGAGAGAACTGGACCAGGGTCAGTGCAGTCTGTGACCCGCCCCGGCCCACAATGCATCTGTGTGGGCGGGCTGAATCCTGATGGACTGCTGCTGCTGAACCTGAGCAACAATCCAAAGGTCAGTGTCTAAAAGTACTGCAATTTTTACTTCATTCAAAACAGTCTCTGAACTGTGCCGTGTTTTATTTTTCCAATCACTGCCAATGACGCATTTGTCACACGTCACATTTGCGCTTATGAGTGAGTGGGTGACGTGTCTTGCCCAAGGACACAGCAATAAAAACTCTAATCTTGTTTAAAAATTCTATATTGAGCTAAATTAACTCTTGTGAGCTTTAAGCCATGTTATAATGCTGTTACCTCCTCGAAAACAAACCTAGAGCTGTGTTTTGTTTCATTCATGCACATTTGAGTTATCTTGGTCTTTTAGTCTATCTCCAAAGTGTCCAAAGCTCAAAATGCTCTGCTCCATCTTGTGCTGTCATGAAGATGTAGTTTTCAAGTTAACAGCCACCTTTTACCTTTTGTTAAGCAGAGATTGGCAATTCCATTGTAGAGGTCTGCGAGGGACAGAATTTTCAGTCACACTCCTGCCCGCGCCCGCAAATAATTGTAATTTTCATTCCTGCTCCAGCCCACATTTGTGATATTTTGTCCCTCCCGCAAATCCCAAACGATGAGGACATTCACTTTCTTAAACTCTATCAAAAACAGACAAGCGGAAAGGAATTGCCTAAAATATGCGTGAGATTAGACCATGTCCGCAAGTTTAGTCTGCTTAAAATGTTTTTTATTAATGCTATTTATCCAATCCAGACCACTTTATTTATATGGCACTTTTCACAAACTGTTTCTAAAGTGCAGCACAAATACATAATACCAACAATAATAAAAATGATCAAATAAACGCTCAGATTTAATCACACTGGTCTTAAAATGGTCTTATGCAGATGACAGCCAAATCTGCCATTAAAAAAACAGGATCCACAGGCTGTCAGACCACTTCTAGACTGCATCAGTGACATAAACTCTTGGATGTCACGAAACTTTTTGCACCTTAATCAGGAAAAATCGGAAGTTATGGTTTTTGGCCCTAGCACTTTAAATTGTTCTTTTCCTGTGGACCTGGGTTCACTAAATCTTTTAGTGAAGCCAGTTGTTACAAATTTAGGTGTCAAAATGGACCCTGATCTAAAATGTTATCTGCAAATTACTGCTAATGTAAAATCATTTTTTTCCAGCTAAGACAATTGGCCAAAATTAAGCCTATTATGGCAATGCAACACTTCGAAACTGTCATGCATGCATTTGTGACGACTAGATTGGATTATTGTAATGTACTTTATGTTGTTGTCAGCCAAACTGCACTTTGCAGTTTGCAACGGGTCCAAAACTCAGTGGCTCAACTTTTAACTCGAATCCGGAAACACGAAAGCATCTCACCTATTTTAGCCTCTCTCCTTTGGCTCCCAGTGTCTTTTAGAGTCGATTTTAAAATTCTTTGACTTACTTTTAAGTGTTTGCATGGCCTAGCACCCTCCTACCTCGCTGACTTGATCCACCCTTATGCCCCCTCTCGCAATCTCAGGTCAGCAAACCAGCTCCAGCTCACTGTCCCAAAAAAATAAACGTAAGCTTTGTGGGGAGCATGCGTTTTCTGATTTTGCCGCACAGCTGTGGAACCAGTTGCCATTAGAAATTAAACAGTCTGAGTCTGTACCTATTTTTGAATCACTTGTATAATTTGTATATTTTACTTTACACTCATATTTAGTTTAGATGATTCTAGTGAAGGTGAATGGAGTTTAAAAACACAGTTTGTTCATATCTTGATTTACAGGCAAACTAGCAAAAGAAAAACACAAGAATCATGAACATTTAAAACCAAAACGACGAGTCTGACAGGAGCAGTTACAGAGAGAGGGGTCACTATATTCCAGAAATGAATTGGAACCAGAGTTGATGGAGCTGAACCGTGTCCATGCTAGCCGGCCAGTTATGTCCATTTATATATAAGTCTACAGTCTAAGGTCCCAAGCACCCGCTATTCCTGACAGGTTACCCCAGTGG